GGATTTGCGCTTTCTAAAATTAAAATGCAGTACCGCTAATAATTAACTATCTACCAGTCATCACTATCTTGAACATCAGGAAGCATGGATTATCATCATTTAACAGTGGCAGAACATCATCTTACATTACAGTAAAGAAGTTCCCTAAAGAGTTTATTATTTTCTTGAACAGCAGAAAGGACATGCTGTCAGAGACCAACACCATGAGGAAACACAGTGTTGCAGCAGCACCCTCTCAGATAAAATAACAGAGCTTTATCCTGTGACTAACTGTTCTGTGTTACGGTGCTGAAATTGTATATATATTTTTTGTGTGTATATATGTTTTGTATATCTTTTGTTTTTAATGTGATGATCCAGCCTAGCTGGGCCAGCTAGGCTGGGTCCTCATGATGATCCAGCCTACCTGGCCCAGCTAGGCTGGGTCCTCATGAGGATCCAGCTGCCCATGAACTGAGACAGAGCCTTAGTCAGGTTAGGTTTAGGAGAGTTTGGACTTCAGTCAGCTTGGTCTGCCCAAATGTTTAGCATTTTATAAAGAAATGATTGTTATTCTCTGGGGCTGTGAGTGGTTTTAATAGTTTGACTGTTTGACATCATGTTATTGTCTTTGTGTTTGTGGTAGAAAAACAAAAGGGGAGAAGATCAAAACAAAAGAGTCTCATGAAGAGAGACGTCATGAAGTTGGAACAAGTCTACACTTTGGAGACCGTGGTGGTGGCAGACTCAGACATGGTGCAGTACCATGGAGCTGAAGGGGCTCAGAGGTTCCTACTTACTGTCATGAATATGGTAAGAGATTCATTTTTAAACCTTCAAAGTCTGCTGGAGGTTTCTTCCTGATTAGCAGGGAGTTTTTCCTCTCCACCGTTTGCTCAGGATGGGAGACTGTGATGAAGTGATTCAACACAATCTGCTGCTTTCTTCTTTACATTGTTCTTTTTATGTACAGTGTCCTGAGACAACGTGTGTTGGGACTTGGAGATATATAAATAAACTGAACTTGGTATTGCTAAGCTACATTGTAGCCACAGCTGCCCTGGGGCACACTGATAGAGGCGGGGCTGCCATGCACCAGCATCAGTGGACCCTCTGACCACCATCAGTAGGCAAGGGGGTTGAAGTGTCTTGCCCAAGGACACAATGACAGAGACCGATGTAACAAGGGAATGAACAGGCAACCCACTGGTTCCAGGACTCCCCTAACCCTAACCTGTTGGCATCACGATGGATCAGTGGTTAGCACTGATGCCTCACAGCAAGAAGGTCCTGGGTTCTGTGCAGAGTTTACATGTTCTCCTCGTGCTTGTGTGGGTTTAAGCAGGTACTCTTTCCCCCATAGACAAAAACATGTGCAATAGGCCCAGGCCTCCCTTGCAAAAGAGATTTGTAATCTCAGTGGGATTTGCCTGGTTAAATAAAGGTTAATAAACGATGGATGGATGGATGGATGGATGGATGGATGGATGGATGGATAGATTGAAAACCACTCAGACACAGCTGTCATGTTGTCATTTGTATCCTGTTTTGTTGTTTTAAACAGCTACTTTTACAATGTTTCATGAGATTTTTGAACAAAATTGAAGGTCTTGGCAAGATTAATGTAGTATGTTTTTTAAAAGGCTCATATTGAAGTAGATTTTAGGCAACAAGCTACAAAGATGTGTTCTGGAAGCTTTCAGATGTGCTGGTTTTTAATCTTCTATAATTCTTGTAATTGTTTGGCTATGTTCTTTTTAATCTCTTATCAAAAGAAATAGTTATGAAGGGGTTTTAAACAGTATTGTGCTAATTTGAACAATGAACTGTGAGTCTCCAGTGTTGTAATTAAGATTTTTCAAGTCAAATTCACGTCTTAGTCTGTCTCTTTTCTCTGTGTATAAAAAGATGTTTAATGTTTTAGCTTTTAGAGGGGCAAAAATCACCATCTTGTTCTGCTTTTTTCAGGTCAACAGCTTGTTTCAGCACCCAAGTCTGGGAGTTCAGATCAACATTCGAGTCACTAAACTGTTGCTGCTTCACAACCGCCCAGTAAATCTGACACACCTCCACGCAGAACCTTTTTTCTGCAACACCCAAACATTCCTATAACAAAACTACAGAATACAAAAAATAACTGGAAGTTTTAACTATGTAAAACAAGTGTGCATTTTAAATGGAGCATGTCATTGGCGAAAACATGATGTTTTCAAACAGCAGTTAAAAACAACTGTCCTTTGCTTCAGAGATACCCACAGAAAGATAAACTTTCGAATATAACACTGAACACATATTACATAAAAAAACATAAAACAAATGGCATGTGCGTATAACACAAAACACATCACTACATAAAAATAAACCAAAATAATTTAAACAACCTATAATTGGACATGAAATAATGAACAATGCACATGCTGTGTTTCATTAGGAGAGAGAGGGAGAGGGAGAAAATATTGGCCAAAAGTGGTGACATCATTGGATAAGAAATATTACCTTAGCATAAAAAAGCATTTGGGATAACTGGACATTTGTTGGCTGCTCAGTGTGTTCCCTAAGGAAATGGTCTTGGTGAGGCAGGGTTACGCTTAGACCGACCAGTAAACTGAGAACTTCGCTTTCTGGCTCAGCTTTTGCTTTACCACTACAAACCGGTACAACGCCCACATCACTGCAGACACAGCACCAATCCACCTGTTGATCTCCTGCTCCATTCTTCCCTCATTCATGAACAAGACCCTGAGATACTTAAACTCCTCCACTTGGGGCAGGACCTCCTCCCCGACCCGGAGAAGGCAGCCTACCCTTTTCCGGCTCAAGACCATGGTCTGGGATTTGGAGGCACTGATCCTCATCCCATCTGTGAACCGCTCCAGTGAGAGCTGGAGATCAGGATCTGATGAAGCCAGTAGGACCACATCATCCACAAAAAGCAGAGATGTGATCCAAAGGTCACCAAAAAGGATCCCCTCAACACCTTGGCTGCTCCTAGAAATTCTGTCCATAAAAGTTATGAACAGAATCGGTGACAAAGGACAACCTTGGTGCAGTCCAACTCTCACCGGAAAAGAGTCTGACTTACTACCAGCAATGTGGACCAAGCTCTGACACCGGTCCTACAGGGACCTAACAGCCTGTATTAATGGGCCTGGTACCCCATACTCCCGGAGTACCCACCACAGGAGTCCCCAAAGGACATGGTTGAGCGTCTTCTCCAAGTCCACAAAACACATGTAGACTGGATGAACTCCCATGAACCCTCCAGGACCCTGCTGAGGGTGTAGAGCTGATCCTGTGTTCCATGACCAGGACCAAAACCACACTACTCTTCCTGAATCTGAGATTTGACTCCTCTACAGGACCCCCGAATAGACCTTACCAGGGAGGCTCAGAAGTGTGATCCCCCTATAGTTGGAACACACTCTGCAGTCCCTCTTTTTAAATAGGGGGACCACCACCCCATTCTGCCAATCCAGGGGAACTGCCCCCGATGTCCACGCAATATTGTAGAGTCATGTCAACCAACACAACCCCACAACATCCAGAGCCTTAAGGAAATCCAGGTGAAACTTATCCACCCCCGGCGCCCTGCCACCGAGGAGCTTTTTAACCACCTCAGTGACCTCGGCACCCAAGATTGGAGAGTCCAACCCAGGGTCCTCAGGCTCTGCTTCCTCATGGGAAGACGTGTCGGTGAGATTGAGGAGATATTCGAAGTATTCTGTCCACCGACCCACAACGTCTCGAGATGAGGTCAGCAGTGCACCATCCCCACCATGAATAGTGTTGGTGGCAACCCCCAAGAGCACATATTGGCACCCTTATGTTTGAACATGGTGTTTGTTATGGACAATCCATGACGAGCACAGAAGTCCAATAACAAAACACCGCTCGGGTTCAGATCGGGGGGGCCGTTCCTCCCAACCACGCCTCTCCAGGTCTCACTGTCATTACCCACGTGAACATTGAAGTCCCCCAGCAGAATGAGGGAGTCCCTGTTAGGAGCGCTCTCCAGCACCCCCTCCAAGGACTCCAGAAAAGGTGGGTAATCTGACCTGCTGTTAGGCTCATAGGCACAAACAACAGTCAGGACTCATCCCCCCACATGTAGGTAGAGGGAGGCTACCCTCTCATTCATCGGGGTGAACCCCAACATTCAGGCACCGAGATGGGGGGCAATAAGTATGCCCACTCCTGCTTGGCGCTTCTCAGCACGGGCAACTCCAGAGTAGAAGAGTGTCCAACCCCTCTGGAGGAGACTGGTTCCAGAGCCAGAGCAGTGCATCGAGGAGAGTCCAACTATATCTAGTTAGAACCTTTCAACCTCACACACCAGCTCAGGCTCCTTCCCCACCACAGAGGTGACATTCCACGTCCCTAGAGCCAGCTTCTGTAGCCGAGGATCAGACCGCCAAGGTCCTTGTCTTGGACCACTGCCCAACACACATGGCACCCGACCCTTACGGCCCTCCCACAGGTGGTGAGCCCATGGGATGGGGGACCCACATCTCCTCTTCAGGCTGTGCCTGATTAGCTTCCATGGGTGAAAGCCTGGCTACCAGGCGCTCGCCAACGTGCCCCACCTCCAGAGTGGGGCCCCGGTGACCCGCATCCGGACGAGGGAACACTAAGTCCATCTATAGTACTCATCATAGGGGTCTTTGGACTGCACTTTGTCTGATCCCTCACCTAGGACCTGTTTGCCTTGGAAGACCCTACTGGGGGGCATGAAGCCCCCGACAACATAACTCCTAGGATCGCTGAGACACTCAAACCTCTCCATCACGATAAGGTGTCAGCCCAGGGAGAGGTAAATAGATAGTACATAAAAAGTACAAATACCAAAAGGCATAGGAAGCATCTACTGCATGCTATTAATTAAATCTGAATGGTTGCTATAGCATCAAGCAAGCAGGAGTGGTTAGGCAGCAAACAATTGCACAGGACCAAACAGTTTGGTTCACACTAAGAAAAAAACTACCACACTACAAATCAACAAAACAAAGAATCACAATACAGAACAAGAAAACACTTACACCCCCCCCCACAAGAAAACAACACAAAACAAGACAAGTATCACACACCTGATAGGATAATAAAATGTGAACGTAATCAGGTAAATTTTTATGTTTTTTACTTTTTGAATCAGTTGGTAAGTAAGTAAAAAGCTATTGGTCATTTTCAAAATATTGTCTTTTGTAGCACTGATTTGTATTTTAAATGTATTTTAGGTGCATTGGTTCTCAGAAATGTAAGACCTTAAACTTTCTAGGGTTTGTGACGAGTTCTGGTACCAGAAAGTCCATATTAATTTTAGCATCATGATTGTTTCCTCTCCTTAATAAACCTATGAAGTAAACAAACAAGAGTATTTGAGTATTATGGATAAATAAGGTTTTGCTTCTTTGTCTGTATCTGATCAGGAAAACTTATCGGTGAGTCATCATGGACAAAGGTCTCTGGAAAGCTTTTGCCACTGGCAGCATGGGGAGTTAGGGATGCCCCTGAATTTTGGTCCCAACAAGATTAGAAGAAGAATGTTTGACATTTATTCATTGGATACAGCTGTGTTGGTCACCAGGTAAGAAGATAAGTCTGACACAAGGTACTGTAAATAGCACCACAGAATATTGTCTTGTGTGGTCATATTTGCTCTTGAGTGATCATAACAGCCTGCCAAAGAGTGGCAACAGGAATAGTTTGTGTCCATGGTGGGAAAGATCAGCCATGATTATTACTTCCTGCCTTTATAGACCTGGAGGAATCTTCCAGGGGACTGGATTGGACTTATCTTATCTTATCTGTTTCAGGACTGATTTCTGTGTTCATAAAGATCAACCCTGTGATACTGTCGGTGAGTAATATTTGTGTTTTTTAACATAATTTAAATATAAATGAAAATGTACATTATTTGTCATCAATGCATGTTACCATGCAGCGATACATGCTCTGTATTTGATCCATCACATGAGAAACACCAGGTGGAGCAGCAGGCAGCTATGTGAGCGCCCGGGGAGCAGTTGGGTCTTGCTAAACGACACCACGACATGTGGGGAGTTGAACCTGTGATTTTCTGGTCCCAGTTTGGCTGCCCTACCACTACACCACAAACCCCCATCACCCCCCGTAACATATTGTGATGTTATTTAAGCAACACGGTGTCTCACTTGGTAGAGCTCTCAGCAAGAAGGTTACCAGTTCCAGTCCCAGCTGAGAACCTTACTGCATACTGTTTGCATGTTCTCTTTGTGCATTAGTGGGTTTTCTCCTGGTACTCTGGTTTCCTCCCACAGACCAAGAACATGACTTTTAGGTTAACTGGTAAGAATAAATTGTCTAAATACACTCACCGGCCACTTTATTAGGTACACCTGTCTAACTGCTCGTTAACACTTAATTTCTAATCAGCCAATCACATGGCGGCAACTCAGTGCATTTAGGCATGTAGACATGGTCAAGACAATCTCCTGCAGTTCAAACCGAGCATCAGTATGGGGAAGAAAGGTGATTTGAGTGCCTTTGAACGTGGCATGGTTGTTGGTGCCAGAAGGGCTGGTCTGAGTATTTCAGAAACTGCTGATCTACTGGGATTTTCACGCACAACCATCTCTAGGGTTTACAGAGAATGGTCCGAAAAAGAAAAAACATCCAGTGAGCGGCAGTCCTGTGGGCGGAAATGCCTTGTTGATGCCAGAGGTCAGAGGAGAATGGGCAGACTGGTTCGAGCTGATAGAAAGGCAACAGTGACTCAAATAACCACCCGTTACAACCAAGGTAGGCAGAAGAGCATCTCTGAACACACAGTACGTCGAACTTTGAGGCAGATGGGCTTCAGCAGCAGAAGACCACACCGGGTGCCACTCCTTTCAGCTAAGAACAGGAAACTGAGGCTACAATTTGCACAAACTCATCGAAATTGGACAAGAGAAGATTGGAAAAACGTTGCCTGGTCTGATGAGTCTCGATTTCTGCTGCGACATTCGGATGGTAGGGTCAGAATTTGGCGTCAACAACATGAAAGCATGGATCCATCCTGCCTTGTATCAACGGTTCAGGCTGGTGGTGGTGGTGTCATGGTGTGGGGAATCTTTTCTTGGCTCTCTTTGGGCCCCTTGGTACCAATTGAGCATCGTTGCAACGCCACAGCCTACCTGAGTATTGTTGCTGACCATGTCCATCCCTTTATGACCACAATGTACCCAACATCTGATGGCTACTTTCAGCAGGATAATGCGCCATGTCATAAAGCTGGAATCATCTCAGACTGGTTTCTTGAACATGACAATGAGTTCACTGTACTCAAATGGCCTCCACAGTCACCAGATCTCAATCCAATAGAGCATCTTTGGGATGTGGTGGAACGGGAGATTCGCATCATGGATGTGCAGCCGACAAATCTGCGGCAACTGTGTGATGCCATCAGGTCAATATGGACCAAAATCTCTGAGGAATGCTTCCAGCACCTTGTTGAATCTATGCCACGAAGAATTGAGGCAGTTCTGAAGGCAAATGGGGGTCCAACCCGTTACTAGYGTGGTGTACCTAATAAAGTGGCCGGTGAGTGTAGCTAAGTGGTTGTGTAGTAAGTTAATGTAAACTCAAAGGTTATTAAAATGTTCAGAGAGAACAGGATTTTGAGGAAGTGTTAAGTTCTTACTCTCATACGTCAGAACCAGATCAGGTGATGAAGAGAATGAAGAGATTTGTGAACGTTTTGAGTAAAACCAATTGACTATATTTAATTATTAAATGCTCTGTTTAAGCTATCACTTTCACATTTATGTGAGCATCATAATACCCCACTATTATAACTTCATCAGTATTCAGTAATAAGACTTTAAAAGGTCAATAATGATTATTTTATTCAGGTTTATTAACAGACAAAAGATTCAGTTAACAAAAGCCATGCAATGGACCAGATGTTTTCATTTCCATCTGTAGTCTACATACATTAAATAAAATTACAATCAAAATCAGTAAATGTACATTGAGTTAAAACTGCATTCAAAACCTAATGCAGATTTGAGTTATTTAATGTGATTTCAAACTTTTATTATATTTATATTTTATTAAAAAATCAAAATCTTGAACCAATAGAAAAACATGTGAATTTAATAATGTTGTTGGCACTCTTTACTTGAAAAATAAGGAGATTTTCACATTTTATTAATATTTTTATAAGGTTTATTTGAATTAGATAAATATGTGTAAATATTCATGTGTACCTGCTCGTGTGTGTCTTACAGGTATTGCTTATCTGGGTGGTGTCTGCAGTGCAAAGAGGAAGTGTGTGGTAGCTGAAGACAATGGCTTAAATTTGGCCTTCACAATTGCTCACGAATTGGGTCACAAGTAGGTCATGATCAAATGTGAAAATGTCCCATTTTTATCTCTGTTGTGTAAATCTATTGCCTGCTACACATGGATCATCAGCCCTGTGGATCAGCAGCAGGTTGTCAGACAGCTCAAAGTTTAAACTGTGGAAAGGGATTACAGGAACAGCTCTAAAATGGTTTCAGTCTTATTTAACTGATAGATTTCAGTTTGTTAATGTTAATAATGAATCTTCTTCTTACACTAGAATTATTCATGGAGTTCCTCAGGGTTCAGTGCTTGGACCAGTCCTATTTACGTTATATATGCTTCCTTTAGGTAAAATTATTAAACAGCATGGGATAAATTTCCATTGTTATGCTGATGATACTCAGTTATATTTATCCATGAAACCTGATGAATCCAACCAGTTCCTTAAACTACAAGCATGTCTTCCAGACATAAAAACATGGATGACTCTTAACTTTCTGCTTCTAAACTCAGATAAGACAGAGGTTCTGGTTCTTGGACCTGAACATCTCAGGGATCAACTTTGTAGCCTTTCAGCTCCTCTGGATGACATTAATCTGGCCTCCAGTTGTAATGTAAAGAACCTTGGTGTTATTTTTGATCAGGACATGTCTTTTAACCCCCACATTAAAAATGTTACCAGGACCACCTTCTTCCACCTGTGTAATATCACTAAAATTAGAAACATTTTGTCCAAAAATGATGCAGAAAAACTGATTCATGCATTTATCACATCTAGACTGAATTACTGTAATTCATTTTTTGAAGGATTCAGCAGTCTGTGGTTCCCTTAAAAGATCTGGGAGTGAATTCCACAGACGAAGAGCAACAGTGCAAAAGACTTGGTCCCCCATGGTTCTGAGCTTTGTTCTGGGGAATTGGAGAGGGCATGAGTTACCAGAATGGAGAGAATGAGTTTTATTGTGTGGAAGGAGCAGTTCTTTAAGGTAGAGGGTGCACTACCATGTATGCACTGGTGTGTCAGAAGACCAGTCTTGTTCTGGATTCTGGCAGGGACAGGAAGCCAGTGAAGAGAACACAGAGCTGGTGTGATATGGTCTTTTCCATTTTGATTTGGACAGTACCCCAAGTCTTTAATGTGGTACTGGTAATATATCCATGTGTCATCTTCAGCATGGGAATGAATCATGACGACCACCACACTAACTGCACCAGTCACTCACACATCATGTCTGGTGAGTGGATAAAAGGTAGAAACCCCAGCGAACTGTTCTGGTCATCCTGCAGCCGTAGAGACTTGGAGAATTTCCTCAGGTAAAAAGCAAGTAATTATTTTAGTGTGTACCTAATTAAGAGTATCTGTAACGTACCATAAAATGCAAATGTAAATTTGCTCCTATCAAATTATTCCTGAATATTTAATGGTTCTGTGCGGTATTTCATTCAGAAAAAAACACTTTGATTGTGTTTCTGTATCATCAGATCTGAAGCCAGTAGCTGTCTACGACACACAGACCCCAGAAACAGTCCTTGGGTCCCTCTGTCCTCCAAGCTGCCAGGGATGCACTACAGTGTGACTGAACAGTGCCAGATCCTGTTTGGAGCTAATGCTACGTTCTGCTCTGAAATGCAGGTACACTTTGTACATTACATGGGGCGGCTGTGGCGGAGTGGTTAGGGGAGTCGTCCTGGAACCAGAAGGTTACTGGTTCGATCCCCCCGTCCAGCCGTCTCAGTCGTTGTGTCCTTGGGCAAGACACTTCACCCACCTTGCCTACTGATGGTGGTCAGAGGGTCCGGTGGCGCCGGTGCATGGCAGCCCCACCTCTGTCAGTGTGCCCCAGGGTGTGTAAAGCGCTTTGGGGGTCCGGAGGGACTTGAAAAGCGCTCTATAAGTTCAGTACCATTTACCATTACTCCATCTTTATGTTAGAGTAAAGTTTATTCATCTGTCTGTTCATCCATTCACCCATCCATGTGTTTGGAACAAATGCTACATACTTTCTATTTTATTCCTTTATTATGTGAAGTTAAAACACCTTCATTTGTTTATACATCTATGATTTGTGGGGAAACTGGGCTGGTTTTAGCATTGTAGTTGTTTGTAGTACAGTCTGAGACGCTCCATCTCATTAAGCAAAGCCCTGACTCTACCTTTCACCAACCAGCTCACTGTCACCATCCAGGCCACCTCCATGAGCAAGGTTCTGCTCAGGTGTGTGTCTGAGTGTCAGTGTGTCCCTCGCTCTGGGCATGACTATGGGTGAACCGTCCACAGTGGCTTCAGCTGTTGTGGTTAAAAATAATAATTTGAAAAATCTGTTGTGATTATTATTTTTCTTTATTTAGGTTTTTTTTGTTTTTGTTTTTCTTAGTTTAAATTTCATTCATTTAAAAACAACACAAATTCAACATACAACAAAAACACAAATCACAAATTAAATTAAATGAAAAGAAGAAGAAAGAATCTTATAATCTCTACCCCGTTTTTACAAACAAACAAATTCTAAGAAAATATTCTTCAGTTTACAATAAACAAATAATAATTTCCTATTAAAAAAAGAAAAAAAACATACAAATTTTACATATAATAAATACAATATCAAAATAAAATGCAAGGCACCAGAAAGAAGAAAAAAATCCTACAATATCTGCCCCCTTTTTTTAAAAAGAAAAAAGATAAAATAAACAAATTAATTGTTAAGTAATAAAAACAAAACAACAATAATCCTCATCGAACAAATTATATGAGTACATAATAATCTTTTTCATATTTCTTCAATAAATCAATTTTAATCATTCTTTTTGATCTGGCATTTTTAACAGCACTTTCCAGTTTATTCCATAGTCTTATTCTTTGACGTACATCGTTCCTTCAAACTGGTTCAAAATTTAGTCTTCACAAACACCTCAATCCCCTTAAGATTATAACTACTTTGTCTTTTAACAAAACTTGACTGGATGTTTACAGGTAATATGTTCTTATGAGCCTTATACATGACCTGCAAAATATTATAATCTACTAACTCATAAAATTTCAATAACCTCAACTGACAAAACAATATATTTGTTGGGTGACTATAAGGTTTTCTGGTTATAATTCCTACAGCTCTTTTCTGTAAAAGAAAAAGAAAAATTATTGTTGTGGTGCTGTATATAAGTGCTTGTGTAACTGTGGGCGGCCAGTTTGTTCAAAACCTCCTGGGATATCTGCTGCTCAGCTTCGTCTCCTTCACCTCACTCCAGGAAGGGTTTGCAAGTTCTGCCTTTCTCAAGATGGCCAAAAAGGTTAGACAGTGGTTTTATCCCTGCTTCTGCCATGTTGTTGTATCGCGCTCATATTCCAGAACAATAGCATCTCTCTCCAGGAGGAAGTTTGCACAAGTTGCCTTTCCTCTGCCAATCAATCCCAGAGTTAATCCACGGGCAGCATTCTGCTGACGTCAAAACCGTAAGCATGCAGTACTCACTTCTGCATGCTTAGAACCACCGGAGAGGAGGCGTTGAAACAGAACGGTTGGAACCTGAAATGGAGACACATTTAGCCGAGGTGAGCCAAACTGCATACAGGTGTGCTGGTGGAGAAGGGGTACAATTCTCCAACCAGCCTGCCAGCTCTGACTCAACACTGTTCACCAACTATCCAACCTGTTAACCAGCTTAACAAGTCTTCAACCAGTCAGTTCACTCACATCAGACTCACCAGCTATCTCACAAAGGCTTTACTTCACCAACAAATTTACCAACCAGTTCAGCAGCTCTCTAATTTACTAACCATCTTATCAATTAACCCATCAACACTCCAACTTACTAACCAGCTTATCCTCTCCTAAGTTCACTATTCTACACACAACTATTAAACTTACCTGTTAGCTTACCAGTTCATCAACTTTAAAGTGCTTTTTGTAAAGGACGTCCTGGTTTGACTAGCTTGTTGTGGATTTAGCTGTGATTAAAATGTAATCAAACTGAAAGCTGAATCTGACACACATGACTTAACCCAATGATAAAACATAAAATCAAATCAACTTTAGTTATAAAGCATTTTAAAACAGCAGCTGCTGTTTTAAAGTGCTGTATATAGGGACCAAAAACAATAAAACAAATCAACAATAAAAAACAATCAAAATAAGCTAAAACAGACCAAGGTCTCATGCTAGGTTAAAAGCTAGTGAAGATTAGTTTTAAAAACAGGCAATGAGGAGGCCTGCCTGATGTGTGGGGGTTAGCTCATCCCAGAGGGTTTGCTTCGATCCGCTGACCAGCATGGGGTGGAGAGGCAAAACAAAAGAACCTTAAAACAAACCCTAAAATGCACAGGCAGCCAGTGGACAGAAGCCAGAATAGGTGTGATGTGCTCCTCTAACGTTTTCCAGTTAGCAAACAAGCAGCAGCATTCTGAGCCAACTGGAGCCATGCAACGGACTGGCCAGGGTTATTATAGTTAACTAAAACTAAATTAATAACCAAAAACATTTTAGTTAACTAAAATAAACAAAAAATAACTAAAACTGTATAATATTTTTACAAAATTAACTCAAATTAACTGAAATTATAGATAGAATATCCTCAGTTTTAGTGTTTGTCAGTTTACTTTGAGCTGTGTAGATTTTTTATAAAGTAGTTTCACATCAGCTGTGGGCAGCTCGTGGTCCTTAACAACACTTATTTACAATCTTTACAAAATTTACAAAAAACTAAACTAAAACTAAGCATTATAAATGCAATAATAACTAATAAAAATAAACTAAAACTAAGCATTATAAATGCAATAATAACTAATAAAAAATAAACTAAAACTAAGCATTATAAATGCAATAATAACTAATAAAAACTAAACTAAAACTAAGCATTATAAATGCAATAATAACTAATAAAAACTAAACTAAAACTAAGCATTATAAATGCAATAATAACTAATAAAAACTAGCTAATCCACTGTAAAAACGAACTAAAACTAACTGAATTAAAAGAAAAAAGTCACAACGAAATAAAACTAAACTATAATGAATAATCTGAAACTGTTACAACCTTGGGACTGGTTAACTCCAACATAAAGTGTATCACAGTAATCCAGCTGAGGTGATGAAGGCTTGGATTACTGTTTCAAAGTGCTGGTGGGAGGAAAGGCTTCACTCTGGAAGCTGTTTGATGTGGAAAAAACTCGACTAACGTGACAGTCCAGCTTCACATTACTGTCCATCTTAAACCCAGATTGTGACAGTAGACGTCACGTAGCCTGTCAGAGGACACAAATCAACAGGAGCCACTAGGGCCAAACACAGTAACGTTATATCAGGCTCCCTGTGTTCATCCAGCATGTTGGCTGCACTTTATTTCTGTTTTCTGTTTTCTCTAGGATCTCATGTGTGCTGGCCTGTGGTGTTTAGAAATGGGAGAGACTTCCTGCAAGACAAAACTTGATCCTCCTCTGGAAGGAACTGAGTGTGGAACAGACAAGGTAAAACACTTTTGATTTATTGTTTTTAATTTTTTTATTCTAGATTTACCAGATTAATAAAAGTAGTGCATGTGTAAAATGATGAAATCTTTGTGTTAGTGGTGCAGAGCAGGACAATGTGTCAGGAAGACTCCCATTCCTCAGCATGTGGACGGAGACTGGAGTTTATGGAGTCAGTGGAGTATCTGCAGTCCAACCTGTGGTACTGGGGTCCAGTTCAGACAGAGGAAATGTGACAACCCTCCGTATGTCACTGGTGATGTATCCTGTGTCTGTCTGCATGTACAAAATGACACACAAAGAAACAAATACACACAATGTATCACTTACCTACTGCTGAAGACATGATACTCAGAACCCAGATAACTACAGAGCAACAATGTGTGAGACCCTCAGGACCTACATGTTCTTAACTGGTTACCAGCACAACAAAAACATGTTGGACAGGAAGCTATGATGCAAAGACCAATTTCTTTTCAACAAACCAGTAGGTGACAACCAAATATAAAAAAATAAATATAAATTAATTAATTATAAATAAATAAAAAATTCTGCTGTAATTGCACATCTGTGTTTATTGTCTGCATTGTGATACTTTACAGTTAACAGTCTGTTGAGATTATTTTGTGCTGAAAACAGGCAGATTCTGATTCCTAATGTCTGACAGTCGACTGTCTCTAAAACAAAACATATTTTTTATTCTTGCACAATTCTTTATATAATATTTTTTATTATTAGTAGTCATATCATTGCTACTCAGTGTTATTTTTGTTTTGTGTACTTATAGTAACCAGTGTGTGAACCTCTGTACTGATGCTGCTGTGACACCTGAATTTACCCTCGGCGGGACAATAAAGGCTATTCTATTCTATTCTATTCTATTCTATTCTATTCTATTCTATTCTATTCTATTCTGTCCAGAGAGTTAAACAAAGTAAAATACACAGGTCAAGAACAGCAGAAAAACTGAGGATAAAGGGAAGTACACACAGAGGCAGATGTTGACCAGCAGAGGGCCTGGTCACAGCGTGGCTACCAGGTCCTATCACCACATCTGTCTCTACTTTTCAGATCAACAGATACAGTTCTGATACACTCACAGTATGATTGATTAGATCCTCTGCTTGTACTTGGTGTGGGTCTGAAAATATTCAAACTAAAGTTTCTTTCAGGCGGAGCAGCTATCCTTCTCCTGTTCAGCTTCTAAAATACATCATTTTTCTTTTTAAGCAAAAGAGGTCTTTATGGTTCAGGAAATAGTTTGGGATCCCCAAAGAGTAAAAATATCTTCCCAACACCTTGAAAACATGTTAAAGATGTTATAAAATGTGTGGGAGAGAGGGAGTGTTAGTTTGTGCCTAACTGATGTCTACTGTAGAGAGTGGACCATGAACCAAAATATCCTGATAAGATTATCTAACATGAAGTCTCCCCAAAAACACTCCAAAGGTGGCACCAACCTACTCACCTCGTGTGTCTCACAGATATTAACTTATGTATAGACATGTATTAAAACAACAAACATGCCATGTGTGAAACCTTCTCTCTCAGGATTATTCAATCAGTGGGATTAAAACTAATCTGCTTTCTGAAACACAAATGTAAAAATAACTGTAACAACTACTGTAAAAGGTTCAAATCAATGCACTTATTCCAGACACTCAGTCATGTTTATTGGACTTATTAGTTGTACTTATTACTGCTGGTTGCAGATGATGTAGAATTGATGTCATGAAATGCAGATGGAGGCAGGAAGTAAATGAAGCCATGTTTCCTTCTGTTGATTCAGTGTCAAAATGTCTAAACTCTGTGCCGTGGACAGTTGTTAGAGCCGCTCTAATCAGGAGAAATATCAAAGTTTCTCTCATGTTCTGAAACTAGTGTGTCACAAGATAGTTAAATTTTAAAAACTTGCAGAAAAAACAGGACAAAGGTGGATCAACAATCTACGCCTAAAAACAGGAGGTGCAGAAGTGAACATGGCAACAGTTTGCAGCGACACTTTCTAACAGCTCAGGATCGTATCGTTTAAATCAGAGATTCTTAACCTGTGGGCCACAGCGCCACCTTCAGGGCCTCAGAAGAACAACAGTTTTTAACTTTGGGCCACAGAGGGCCG